ATGCACATGTATCTTACTATTTGATAGTGAAGTAGTTTGTCAGCATTGGTTTTGTGTTCTTTTATAGTCTAAAAAAGCCTACTTTCATATTTTTTTAATTCTAAAACATTAGTATAAAGATGAAATAATGGATTTATTAGTTATAAATAAATTATTTGTTAGAGAAAAGTCATATGAAGATGAATATTTAACACAATATATATCTTTATTTTCAGATGTTGCTAAGTCATAGAATGCTGTATTTGTTAAACTACTTGTGCAAACTACAACAAAAGCAATTGGCTATAAGCAATCTATTAAAAGAACATTACTTGGTCTTGCATATAAATATATGGAATTAGTTAATTATAATGATTTAAATGATTCTAATCTTTTGATGAAAACATTTAAAGAATAAATATATACACATGAAGAAATACAGTATAATGATAAAAGAAGTTGATCTAATACAATTATTAGATATAGACAAACTACAAAATACAATTTAATTAATGATAAACAAAATATGAAGCAAGATCAATTTATAGAATATAAAGAAGTTTTAAAACATGATCAAGTTACAGAAGATAATTTGATTCATGATCAAACTTCTGAAATTACACAATTAGATATTTAGAATCCACTTAGACATATTGGAAAAGGTCATCTTACAAAAAGACAAATAAAGTCTGCAATCAAAAAAACAAAAAAAAGCAAGTATTCACATTCACTAAATTTTGTATCAAATAATAATATTAAAAATCATGCTTCTCATTATTGTAGTATTTGTAAAAGTAAAGAGCATGACAAATGAAATTGTTTTACAAAAATTAGTATGAAAAAATATATTATATTTAATTTAGCTCTACACATATCATGAATATATATTGTATTTGTATTTTAATTATATATGAATTATATTTTTCATTATATAGTAAAAGAATAAATTATATATTTAAATAATTTGATGCTGTTTATCAATTATAACAATTTAACTATCTTTTAACTAATTATTTATATATTTATTTAGAGTTTTAAATTACATTACAATTATTAAAATTTAGCATTTTTACAAATACAAGTAATAAATATAAATGTAACAATTTTGGTTAATATTAGATCTGATAAGATAGTTTTTTTTTAAAAGTTATTTTGGTTAATATTAGAGTTAAGGTAAGCATTTATTAAGTCCTTTTTCTAAGTTATAGTAAAAAATTTTCTGTAATAGAGGTAATAGCTATAGTGAAAGCATAATCAACTAATAAAAA